GGAAGGGAAACACTTAGATGCTACAAACTCTACGGCAGGGTATTCAATATATGGTATATTCATCTTAATTATTGATCTTTTTATGTATATTCATAAACACAAAATTGAAGGACTACACTGAGCTTTGAAACTATTGCCTTTTGGTAAGGAAAGAGGAGCACTCATCGTCATTATAGAGCCTAGAAAGGAGTTGGATATGATGGCATTCCAATCCATTGGATATGCATAAAAACTCATTTATAATGTCAAGGATTTGAAATTTGCTGTAGAGTAGAGACAATTTGAAATGTAAACTTTGGATATAAACATTCTGTCTATGACTGACATACAAGGCAGACAAGTGGACTTTTTGATATTCTGTCCATGACCAAGCCTTGCTTTTACAACTTAGGTTAACTAAAACAAAAACAAATCTAGCCATTCTGAAGATGGTTAGTGCAACAATAAGAGAAATGGCATTTTAAATGTAAGCAGTGGCCCCTAAATATGTGACTGTCTAAATCAACATAATGTTGTGGGTGGTCATTCTTCTGTTCCTATGAACATACACAGGCCTAAAGGTTTATTATCAGTCTAAAAATGTTGACATCACATCATAGGAGGTCAAAAAGTTAATATGCAGAATATGGCTTGTAATTATGCCATTGCCAGACATTGAAAATACAAAAATTGCTTTAAGTGCCTCTTGTACAAACATTGTTATTGAATCAATGCTTGTGATAAATCCTATTATTATGAAATTTCCAAAAGGAGACAGTTGTCCCCAATTTAATGTAATGTGAAGTGCAAGCTCTTAATATCATTTTGTTGAGTTACTGATGTGAAACCTACTTTATTTGACTCAAGCCCATAATCATTTTCCTTTCATAGCTATGCCCTTTCCACTCTAACTGGCTCTTTATTTGTGATGCTGTGTTACTATTTCAGGTGTTGACACCATGAAAAACTATGAACAGGTATTGCAACATGTTCGCTATCGTAACTGGCATGCATCTTCCATCTTTGATAGGAAGTTTAGAATCAAGTGCTCAGAGTTGAATGGGCGTTATACAAGCAATGAATTTAATTTAGAGGTAAGTCATGCGTAAAAAGCATGTCACCTGGTCTTTCCACACTTCTGGGCAATCTTTTCTATTTTTTTAAGTTACACATATTAGTCCAGTAAAGACCTCTCATGACCTCATGGGCTTGTGCGTTCTTCCTCCCATCTACTCCTTTCCTGGACAGTGTTAGTGTATTAATCTATACATCAGTTATTCTGAGCCTTAGGTACTGCTATACATGTAGTGCATTCACACAAAACACCATCCATGGTGAGCCTTTTGTTTCTATGCTCCCCTGCCTCTCCTTTTGTGCAAACCATAGTTTGCCATTTCATCTGAACCAACAATATATGTCTCATGCTTGTTCTTCAAACCAGGATCACAAACCACAGAAAGATAATTGCAAATTATAGATTGTTTGGTAGTAGTAGCTGCCGCCCTCCCCCAACCATTCTTTCTCCCACAATCAAGGGTCATTTCCTACCGGAGCGGCGCTCTGCAGAAATAAGCCCAGCCCCCACCCGGGGGGGGGGAATTAAATGCCTGGCTTCCTAGCCCGATCTTCTCCAGGTGCCCCACAGCCTGGAGAAGATTGGGCAGGGAAGCCAGGGATATCTCCTCGCCTCCCCTTCCTTCTCCATGGCGGGCTGGCTGGAGAAGGAAGGGGAGGTGGAGAGACATGCCCTCCTTTCCCCCTGATCCTCTCTGCTTTTGCGGAGAGACTAGGGGGGGATTTAAATGCCTGGCTGGGGAAGCAAAAAAGGGGGAAGGCATCTTCAAAAGACTCCCCTTCCCTTCCCCAGTTGGCCTGCCAAGGCAGGCTGTGGGGGGGAAGCGAAGAGAGAAGGAGTTTAAAGTTTAATCCCCTTCTCTCTAGAGTCGCACTGCAGCGGCAGCATGGTCTTTCCATTGTATTCTATGGGGCTATTTCTGATCACTTGTCACACCAATGTAACCTTTACTGTATTTGAATCCTGAGAAACCATAGTTCCTTAATGTGCCAAAAGGCACATCTTCAGCACCATTCTGCATACAGCTCTTCTGTACTACTTTCCTTTAGTGCTTATGCTGGAGTCCCATAACACAAGAGCCAGGGATGAATTTGAACTTCACATCCTTGCTATTTTGACCTAACAGTCTGCAAATTAGATTTGCTGTCCCATTATGCAAAAAAGATATTATAGAGCAAAAATCTTAACTATAAATCTATGTTGATAGGATCCAAACTGGTGGTTACTGACCAGGAGAGAGGTCTTGGAGTCGTGGTAGATAATTCCCTGAAAATGTCGACTCAGTGTGCAACTGCAATAAAAATGGCAAATGCCATGCTGGAGATTATTAGGAAGGGAACTGAAAACAAATCAGCCACTATCATAATGTCCCTGTATAAATCGATGGTGCAGCCTCATTTGGAATATTGTGTACAGTTCTGGTCACCACACCTCAAAAAAGATATTATAGCATTGGAAAAAGTGTAGAGGAGGGCAGCTAAAATGACTAAGGGGTGGAACCTTTTCCCTATGAAGAAAGGTTAAAGAGGATAGGGCTCTTTAGCTTGGAGAAATGATGACTGAGGGATGACATGATAGAGGTTTACAAGATTATACATGGGATAGAGCAGGTAGAGAAGAAGTACTTTCCTCACTTTCTCACAATCCAAGAACACATGGGCACTCAATGAAATCAATTAGCAGTAGGTTTAGAAAAGATACAAAGAAGTACTTCTTCACCCAAAGAGTAATTAACACATGGAATTCACTGCCTCAGGAAGTCGGTGGTGGCTACAAGCATAGACAGCTTGAAGAGGGGACTGGATAAACATATGGAGCAGAAGTCCATCTGTGGCTATTAGCCACAAGGTATGCACATGACAGAGTGAGCTTCCGTCTCTGGCCCCAGCTCCTGCCAACCTAGTAGTTTGAAAGCAAGAAATTGCAAGTAGATAAATAGGTACCACTTCAGTGGGAAGGTAACAGTGTTCCGTGTGCCTCGGCATTTAGTCATGCCAGCCACAGGACCATGGACAGCGCTGGCTCTTCAGCTTGGAAATGGAGATGAGCACTGCCCCCTAGAGTCAGATTCGACTAGATTTCGAGCAAGGGAAACCTTTACCTTTTTGAAGAGGTAACACTATGTCTGGAGCAGTGATGTTCTGTATTCTTGGTGCTTGGGGGGCAACATTGGGAGGGCTTCTGGAGTTCTGGCCCCACTGGTGGACCTCCTGATGGCACCTGAGTTTTGGCCATTGTGTGACACAGAGTGTTGGACTAGATGGGCCATTGGTCTGATCCAGCATGCCTTCTCTTATGTTCTTATGTCCACCCCAAATCCCAGATTTGAAATAACATTTTTTTTCCTTGGGGCACACCCCTGATGTTTAGTGTCTAGTATCCTCTGCCTGGAAGGGGCCTTCAGAAAAATCAGCAAGCAAAACTCTTTGAGGTGGAACAGTTCTCACACAAATTCATATATGGACAAGCTCTAAGTGAGAGACATTATGTGACTTTTCCCTCCTTAAATTAAGAGGAAACAGTAAT